TGTGAAACAGTGACACGCACGAATATTACATATAATATGTATATATAATATTATACGCGTCCCACTTCCACCGCCTCAGAAAAAAAAAAAAAAAAAAAAAGGGAAAAGCACTCGTCAAATAATTTCTAAAAAAAAAAATATTTTGCGCCTCGCTGGGGCTTTTTTCCCCCTCTTCCGATGCGAAAAAGGGAACAAGAAGAGACGATCACAGTTTGACTCACAGCCCCCGATATTCCCTCTTTGAATGCGATTCATCCAACACTCACACGCCCGTGAAGGCATTATTTCAATTTGCAACAGTCAAGCTCGTTGAAAACTTACCGACTGGCGCTCTTCAAAGGCCCCCCCAAACCAACAAAATTCCCCCACGTAAAAAACAGAAAAGGCAGAACTGGCGGAATGGCGGGAGAGAAAAAAAAAAAAAAAAAAAGAGGCATGCAGTTTTTCCTACCAACGCGGGACCGCTAAAAATACAAAAGCTAATATATATATATATAGAGAGAGAGAGAGATGTACGGGCAAAAGAGCTAAAACACAAGAGTCGACCATCCACTGAGCCCCGCCTGCTGGCACACTCATACCGGAATTAAGAGAATAAAACAAAAAATCTCACACACAAGGCAGGACCAAAGCAGGTTCCCATGGCCGTCACCTTCCGGCTCAGACGCATGAAACCACAATGAACGACAGTGGATCAATTAACAAAACAAAAACAACAACAACAACAAAACTTCTCGCCGAAATATTTATGGTATTCCTCATTTCAACTTCATGAGATGGCAAAAAAAAAAAAAAGAAAAAAAAAACACGGAAAAAACTTGCCACATATACCTCCATGAAATCTTCACTATCAATCCCCTTCGACCCTCCCCACTTTTTTCCCTCACTTTCCTTCTCGTTTTCCCCCGATTGCAGCCCCTTGGTGATCTTATGGTCTGATCCCTCACCGTGGTGTCACGGTCGATCACCCTGTATTATCGGAGTAAGCCAGGAGACGGCAATAATTCTCTCACAGGATTTATTTTTTTTTTTTTTTTTTATTTTTATTTTTTATTTTTTTTTATTTTTGTGGGCACAGGGCTGGCGGCATCAAACAGCGCCTGGGCCAGCCGCGTCCTGCTGGGATACAGTTATAACGCAATGAGACCTGGGGGTGGGTGTTAACGCAGTGCGAGCAATCGAATTTATTTGGGAAAACACAAGTAAAAACAATAATAATAAATAAATAAAAATTATGCGTCAACCGTACGAGCACAAAACAAGACACAAGAAAAACAAGAAAAATTACACTCGCTACCCTCCACCGTGCCCTATCTGGCCGCACATTCCAGAATTTTCTGAAAAAAATTGCAAGCCCACACATTGATACCGCATATAAACCCGTCCTTTTCACCCATTTTCCTCTTCCCAACTAAAAGAAATATTTAGCACGTACCCACATTACCATGGTGTTCACATTTATCAAGCACAAATACACTCGCGCACCTCCCAAAATTTATTAAACTGACACTCTCCACCATAAATAACCTCTCCTTCTCCTCAGAAAAATATCTACTTAATGATGATACACGCTTCCCCACCATTCCCTTCTTTCTCTCTCTGCAGCAAGAAGAAAAATTGACATGTATCTAATGAAATGAATCCTACACGTTTATTGAGAAGCATAATTCATTCAAAAAGAAAAATAATGCACACGTATGGGGGTTTCAGAAATGGGTTTCACGTCTTTTTGAGGTGCCAATGATGATTCATTTCAATTCAATTTTGAATCCTGTTCCTCCCCTTGTTCCGGATTCATCACGGTCTCCGATTTTTCCCATTTGCACTCATACTTGTCCACGTCCACTGGAACTTCCATAACGAGCCGTATTCCCTTCACGCACCTCCCGCATCTTGGACTGGCAGTGGCCTGCGATGAAAGTGCGGAGGATATGTTCTCTGTGAGAATACTACCAACAAGTGACATCCCCTCTTCCTCTTTTTCCTCCACCGACTCTGTCGTACATCGCCTCTCACATGGGTAAGGTTCAGTCTCTTCTTCACATGTGGCCACTCCGTTATTGTTATCACCGTCGAGTGGGTCTTGCAAAGGCTGAAGTACTCCGGACTCTTGGGACTGTTGAAGCAAAGTGACCCCTTCGATGTTTAGGTGTAACTTCAAATGTCTCAGTGAGGCGGCAGCGCATACCTCCGTGGAATTCTCGGCTCCAGCTACAGGTGTTGTAAGTTCAACAGGATCAATGCATTCATCAAGTACTTCCTTAGAGAAAGATGAATTCTCCGTGAGAGTTTCGCTCGACGGGGAATATCTTCCTTGGCACTCGGGTGGTTCTAGGTATTTCATCCGCAAATGCATCTCTGCCTTTTCTTTTTTGTGTGTACACCGAGGCAGCGTGAAGGAATGAGGTGAAATGAATGGCCTGTTACCTCTCCCACTGTTACTATGAGTAGGACTCACTGAAATCGATCCAAGCCTATTAAGAACCTCAAAAGTGGGGTCCACTGAGGAAAACGAACGTGTCGGTGAACACAGTCTTGGTGCTGGTAGGTACCTCTTTCGGAGAAACTCACAGTAAAGTTCAAAAGCATCATCCGTGTAAGGTGTGAAAAAGGCATGAGCAACTATGGGTGTCGCCACAGTAGCAATACACATGACAACAGAAAAAAAACCACACAGGTACCAGACATAAATGCAGCAACCGATCTGCAGGAGTGTCAGCAATACCATTATCCCACTACGACCACTTTCACGTCGGGTCTTCTTTGTTGCATCTGAGACTGTGCTCGGCGTCCCTCGAGAAGTGTACCGCTTCGTAATGTGCATGATACAACTCACAGTCACAATCAATGCACATGGAGGTGCACAAAAAATAACAACTAATGAGATCAACAAGGCCATATTGTGATAGTTTCTGGAAAACCAAAGAAGGTTAACCAGGAGACGCGTTGTGTATACATCGCGGATGGGCACAGCTGGTCGCAAGAAAAACTCCTTCGGTGTCCGCTGAGGTTGTTCCAGTGAGACGCTCCAGAGAGCAGAAAGCACATTAAGAAAGTTGTTTCCATCAGCGCATCTACGTTCCGTCAGCACCTCATCCGACTCTTCCACGGACAGTCTGCTGAGTCTCGACGATATTCCCTGCTTGCGGGCATGCATTTTGCTGATGGCGGGAAAGGATGCCATAAACAAAGAGAAATCAATCAAACCAACAAACAAGCAAACAAAAAGACTGCAAATTAAATATTTCCAGCTAACCTTTGCAAAATATTTCAATCCCTTTCTAAGCTTCGTCGGTGGTACACCCAATAACTGAGAAAACAACACGAGAAGAAAAATGAGCAAAAAATAATGCCTGATATGACGCGCAATCAACCATATAAATATATTTTTTTAGTGTAAAACAAAGAAAACAAATTTAGAGCAAACTCCCTCTCATCTCTCTCAATCCAGCGACTGCATCATTTCCCGGAGTTGACATCTGGTCACTTGGCGTTCCCGTATGACATCTCTCACAAGGCCCTTTTTCTCCAAAATAAGTGCGATACGAAGTGCAAGCAGATGTTTACATAGCCACGCCTCCTGTCGTCGAATGCTTTGATAGCCATAAGCCCCACATGGGCAGTAATATGGAGAGAAAAGACGGTGCTCACCAACAAAATACAAACACCTTCCTCTGAAATTCACATTTTCATCTTCGACCTCCTCTTGCCGTTCCTGTTCCTCGTTATGCGGTACCCCTTCATTCTCTTCACAAGAGTCATATGCCAAATAGCGAAAAATAGACTCGGCACCATGCAGTGCAATTCCGATAGCCGAAGTAAAAACCTTTCCATGAATTAGTTGCAGCGGCGCCAACGTCTCTTCCAGAGAAGCCGCACCTGTTCTCGTCTCCGTGATCGGATAATTTGCCGGTGGTGTGCGTTGTGAAGTGAGGTGGTCGGCATAATTGTGCAAAACAAGATCGGTGAGCAACGCAGGAACGCTCTGTGCACTGCAAGAGTACATGTGAAAACTAACCAAACTAATACTAATAATAATAATGGCTAGCTTTAATACGGCTATTCATACGGTCTAGGCCCCAGGGCAATCTCGCAGCTTTCTTCCCAACGCACCCAAACCCTACTGGGCCGTGCTGCCCTACGCGAACAAGGAAAAAAAAGGAGAAAAAGAAAGTCATGATGTCAACAAATTATTAAGAAATACGTACATACATAGGCATAAAAAAAAAAAAAAATTAAAGGGTAGACGTACGTCGCGCTTCACTTTTTCCAATCTTAGTTCGAGCAACTCCGCTCCCATACCTCTTCGCACCCGCTCACACCCTCTTTTTCGCATACTTACACAACACACACACAGAGATACACATAGAGCAAAATAAAACAACAACAGGGGAATCACCTTTCGCGTCTTTGTTGTCTCCCATTGTTACGCTGGCGGCCCCCGTGACGCTGTCGGTCATCGTGGCGCGGTCTGTTATCATGTCGCTGTCTCTCATCCCTGCGGTCACTTCTCGGGTTTTGTGAGGACGCGCTGAAACGATGCTGTTGTTGTTGTTCGTTGCGATGACTCTTGTGTCCTCCTTGAGAGTGCCGCCGTTTTCTTCCTCCACGGCTCTCTTCCCTTTGGCGGTCACTCGAGCGACCTTTGCGCCTTTCACCAGAGTGGTGACGTCTTCGGTGACTACTACTCCTTCTCCGCTTTGTTCGTTTTTCTTCATTTTCCTCCTCTTGCCGTCGCCTCCGCTGCAGTTCCTTTAGGTCTTCAAAGTGGAACTCTTCTTCAATCGGCTGCCTAGCAACAACAGATACGCCACCTCCCGTTGGCATACTCCTATCGGGAATATCAGCCCGAACCGGGTGGTGGTTACCAATGTCGCTGACATTTTTGGTTGTGCCTCCAGTGACTTTGGGGCTTTTGTGGTTGTGGTTGTTCGTGCCGGCGTTGTTGCGTGGAACAAAATTGAGCTGAAGTGCGGAATGGAGAGACTCCAGCTGTTTGAATGGTGCGACGACGGGTGCCACTGCGAGCGGTGGAGTGGCAGATGGAATTTTTATCCCGGATGAAGAAGCTACGGGCGGAGCCAATTCTGTTGTTTTTGTCGGTGGTAGAGATGGAGGGGCCTCGGGTGGATTCCCCGCCGTGGGCGCAATAACCGCAGGGTCGGGGCTTGGGGTGCCCTCTGCCGTCGCCGTCGGGTAACACGGCTTCGTTTGCCGCGTCTCGATGAGGAGCTGAACATTTTTGTTTCCCGAGTTAACAGCCTCCTCCAAGTGCTTCCGATGCAGACGCAAGACGGCATTTAACTTCGTCCTCTCTAAACCAAATGCCAGCGACCAGTTGTCTGGAAGCGCAGTGATGTTCGAAGGTCGCGTTGCAAAGAGTGAACACACTGCAAGCACATGGGCTTCCTCCGCGTACAATTCCACGCACCGCGGGATGTCATTCAGCCAACTCACAGCGTCTGCAAGCCATTTTTTCAAAACCAAATTTGAAGAAAATCCATTGAAATAAAAGGCACTACTCTCCGCCGTGCCGGTATCCGCAGCAACTCCCACTTTGTCCTCCTCGATCAGCATCCCAAGAAAAAGAATGGCATACTTGAAAGGAGACTCCACAAAAGTCTGAAAGCCGAGCGCCTGCAAAACCACCTCTTCCGCTTCCAGTATACATGACTTGAAATCATCGTAACGCTCTGGTGGTGGCTGAAGTTGCTCAATAACAGGTTCGCCACGACGGCGTTGGTTTAACCGCATAAAGACACCCACTATGAGACGTACACGCATGGAATGATCCTCCATCTTTGTTGCGATGAGGACACACGCCGCGGTGAGATAAGTAATGTCATCGTGTTCTCGCAGGTTAAACAAACAGTAGTCCAATGGAGCGTATGGATCCCCAAACATAAGAACACCAGACGGACGTTCTGTCCCAACGTGGATCGGCACCATGTACGACGTTTTTCGTGCCCCAGGTAGCACATCTCGGCTGCTATTCCCTTCCGTGATACCATATTCATCTTGGTAGTCTCCGCGCTTACGCCGGACCTGTTCGGCGACCGCTTGGAAGCGTTGGAACAACACGGCAGCCCTGTACGTCACGGAAGGAGTGGTGCGAAGCAAAAGACACCCCGTGCGAATGAGATCCACTCCGTAGGAGGAGTAGCCACGCCTGGCATCGTCTATCCATCCAGTAACCAGGGCCATTTCTCTTCACACCGGTGCCCCCACCCTACCTCACCTCCTCCTTCACAAACTTGCCCTATTCACTCCTGTGCCGTGGGGCAAAAGAGGCGACAAGTTTGAAACAAACAAAAAGAAAAAAAGGGATTTAACACAATTTGTAGGCAACTGGTAAAAGACAGAATCTAAACAATCTCAAAGGGAATGCATTCAAAAGAGAAAAAAAAAAAAATAACAAAATAAAACAAACTTCCACATACGGAAAAGGAATATATATATATATATAATATATATTTCACCAAACCCTCGCAGAAACAATGCCTGACAGAGCAAAAAAAAAAAAAACAAAAAAAACTCGTCCTTAAAAAAAAAAAAAAAACATATTATCTGGAACGGTTTGTTGTCACACACACACACACACACACACAAATGTGGCGTGTGATTAAAAATCTTCATCCTCCAAATTCAAATTTCCTCCATCGTCATTACCATTATCTGTGCTATGATACATCGGGTAATTTTTGTTCCTCCCTTTCCATTCACCATCGTCCCCATTCTCCTCCGGTTGCTCCTGGCCCATCGCTCTTCCCCGAATCATCGACTGCAGAGCCGAGAAATCCTCATCGGAAAGATCCATGATGGAGGGGTCCACCTGTGCCACTGCCTCTTTATCACCCCTCAAAAAGGCCTTCTGCATGGATGTTATCTCATCACGAGAGAAAATAGTCTGACGCCGATTCTCTTTCCGCTCCATGTGATCCATCATTCGCTCAATCTCCATCTCTTTTGGGTCAATCTCCTCCACGGTGTCTTCATCAATCATGTTCCGAACTTCTTCATACCTCGCTGCACTCAGGCCTTGCCTTTCTGTACAAATAGATGAAGACTGGCATAGGGCGTTCGCAAACGCCTCAGCGCCTGCGTATTCATTAAGACGTAAAAGACGAGGCGACAACTGGTCCATGTTTTTGTGATCCATAACTGCTTCACAGGCCTCCACCACAGTGCTGCACACGCGCTTGCACTTGGCATATGCGGGCAACCTCGATACCCCCAATAAAAAAGGAGCCGTATCACTTTCATGGGTGATGGTAATCTGTCGTATCCACTGGCCAACATCCGAAAAGGGGTTGCATACATCTTCTATCGCCGTCAGCACATCGTCCTCGTTGACCCGCACACGTGTTTGCACGCTGGCGTTAAACAGCAGTTGCACGTCGCCGTATGCCTTCCCTACCATAAAATTGCAAACACCACAACTGATGGCGTCAACCACGTCCTTTGGAAGGGGGGCATGCGGCGGTTTCTCCTTCTTTGCAACACCGGCTTCGGAAAACAACAGCGTCACTGCAAAAAAAATGCACAACTTAAGAAAACGCATAGGACGTCCCTCTCGTGTTTGTTTGCTTTTCATTTCTACTTTGATTCTATCCATTTCCCTCTCTATTTGCGTCCTTTTGTTTGTGTGCGTCTGTGAATTTTACCAGCTCCCAAAATATTCCTCAACTTTGTTCCACGCCGCACAACTCTTTCCTCCATTCACATAACAGAATGGCAAACAGAGATGATAATAATAATAACAATAATAATAATAGTAATAATACGCACAGCTGGATCTAACAGACATAACGGCATGAAGAAACAACCAATCCAATAACAACAAAAAAACGGTAGTTCTACCACCCCCTCTGCACACACACACACACACACACACACACGGACGGACCCACCTACCCCCCTCAAGAAAAGTGCATCAAACCTTTGCCATATCGGCTCCAAACTTCCACCCCACTCAAAAAACATTCAGAACACGTGCAAATTCATTCACCACCTCACAAGCACCTTTTCTGTTTCTGTCCGTTGTACCTTCACCACTACTGGGATGACGAAGAGGTGTGGGTCTTACCCTCAAATTCCTCACGGATACGTTGAATGCCTTCTGCATATTGTTTCCTGGAATGCTGCAGCTCCTCGTCATCTTCCTCTTCATTGAAGTAGTAGTACACAATCGTTCTTAGCCAATCCGGCATGTTGTCTTGGCGCGCCAGTTTGATGGCATGTTGGTTGATGTAATGACCCCATGGTTCGCACGTACGCACCAAGGACGTTTCCAAATCTAACAAGCGATTAAGAAACGATCGGTGCGTCACATCGGAAGCCTTCTCTTTTACAACACCACCAAAGCGGGATGGTGAAAAGGGATTGTGCCCAAAAGTCTCCATTTCTTGCCCGGGTGGAGGCCCTGCGGTGGCAAGCCAACCGTTCCACAACATCTGCAGCTCCCGATGGAGTTGATCCAGACGTTTTTCTGTCATCACGACATCAATCTGTTGGCCTCTTTGCCTCATTTCTTCTTCGTCGTGATGTAACATCACGGAAGCCTTCAATTCAACAAGTTTTGCCAATATCTTCGCAGAACCCGGTGCCATATCAGGGGCATGGTCACCAAAACCAGAGCAAACAAAGGAGTTAAACGATGCCCCGTTATTCGCTATCAACGGCACACCGTCTGGAGTAAATGCACGAATGTACCTCGTGACCCTCATGTGGTCTGGCTGGGTCACACCTCCCGCAGTGCTGTTAACATCCTGTCGCTCTTGTTGATATTGTTCCAGCAGCGGGATATTCATTTTACATTTCACACGAAGATATTTTTCTAAGCGTTTTAAAATTCCCACAACATTGGATTCTGACTTGTTTGTCGAGTCAAATGACATCAAACCTTGCACAATGATTTTCTCTTCCTCACTACTCCTAGGGTCACCGCAAGAAGGTAATTTGTACGCCACAAGGTGACTGCTTGGTGACAATGAGATCATGCCTGGTGAAGCCCCAGAGAATAATTCCGTAAGAGGGTTAGACGCCTTATCAGGAGAGGTCGCCTTAAAAACAACGGAGCATCCGCCTAAACCAATGATGGGGAGTTGCGAGGAACCCCACGTCAAGGGGCCCGTGTAATTTCCAGCTGTGAGCACAACAACGTCAAAACGGCGGTTTCTGTATTCCGTCTGACCATCAACCTCACGGGCAAAACGCAAAGTCGAAATTATCTCCGAACTGTAACGGAGATACGTTGTGCTGTCGACCAGCTTTTCGCCAAGAGCAAACTCCACCCCGTACTGTTTCTGAGAGATCTGCGCCAACTCGCGTGTCCAACCGACTGGATCAATCATTAAAGGTCTCGAATGCGCCGTTGCCGCGGTTGCTACCCTTCCGGCGTCACTTGACGTTTGGTCCAAAGTACCCACCGAAACATTACGACTCAAAATATAAGGCGACAAGCTCCGGTACCTACGGGCAAGATCCTCAACAACGTCAAGGCTCAAACGTGACAAGTTATTCGTGTAATACATCACCTGCTTTTCACTGATTGCGTTCCAGCGGCGCGCCCACAACCAGCGGTGAATAGCCGTAGAAAAGAACGAATTCCATGAGTCCTCTAGAGATATAATATCCGGGCATGTTGTTGCCAAAGTTCCACGCAACAATTCCCGGCTCATTCGTATCGTGTGAACGTACGGCTGAAGAAGACCAACTCCCACAAACGGAAAGGCATACTGCGTTTCACCCAATCCGATTGCGCGACTCTTCTCAAATACAGTGACTCGAAAGCCAAGCTGAGCGAGCTCGTATGCGACATGAACTCCAGCAATACCAGCACCGATAACGGCCGCAGTTGGCGTCGATGTGTCGAAGTCCTTCAGCACCTCATCCGTATCGCCGCCGTGGCGAGGGGAAGGCGTCAAATCGTTAACGCCAGAAGCGCGCGATGCCGAAATACCCATCAAGCCCTTTTGGTTACCGCTCGCCGTGTGTATTACAGGCCCGAATAATGTATATGAGTATGCGTATAAGGGCTTACGACTACCACGCGCGTACACACACACAAATACACAAATGCATATATGTGTAGATAAAAAAGAAAAAGAGAAAAATATGCCGTTGTGCGGCCTCCATTCTTCTCCTGCATCACGCACACGGCGCAGAAGAGTACCAAATAAATAAAGGGAGTGAAATCCATTCCACAATTTTACACGAAAAACCAATAAGTAGAAAAAAAAAAATTATTTCTTTCTTTTTTGTGGGGTTGTTTGACTCTTTTCCAACTTCTCTTCACCTGTTTGCCTCTTCTTCATGCCACAGGCCTTAAAAAGGATGCCGCGTCGCGGAGCCACTCCTCCTGCACCACAGACACATCTTTCATGTACCGCCTCGTCGTGCGCACCACGCTGTTAAAAACTACCAACGCCGGCTTTTTGCGCTGATAAAACAGAACAGACGACGGGTGAAGATGCACCACTTGTTGCCCCACCACCGTCTGGTAGTTGCCAATCTTCGCATTGTAGAAGGCAGCATTAAGAGAAAACCCGTAGCACAGCGCCCGTCGAATAAGTTCAAAATCGCGCAACTTCACCATACCCGATGTTTGTCCCTTCAGTAACTCCGATGTTTCATCATCTCCTGATGCATCCTTTTCACTTTCACGCCGACGTTTCCGATGGAGTGCGGCACCATTGCCCGCCAAATTTGGCGATCTCCGCACCATTGTTGAAAGCAATTCTTCATCACTATGCTCGTTAAGGATTGCTCCAAGTTGCGTCATGACATCTTCCGCCTTAAGCATCTGACTCGGATTGACTGCGTTTGATTCACACCACATCTTTCTTTGATCCTTTGGGACACGTTTGTAGGCGTAATAGATGCCAAGCAAAGTAGCATGATCGCCTGCTGACTGGCAAAGGCA